TTCCCTCCCCCAACTGAATTAGTCGCAGAGATGTTGTACAATTGAGCTTTTTTAAAAAAAATGTTTATAGGAGGCTTCGAGTTATGTAGAAATAGCTACTTGGTACCCAACAGTGATTGCTGAGAGAGATCTAAAAGGTGTTTCAGAGTGTATGTACATACTTATTCGTTGCTACAATTAGGCTTTTTGTTTGTTTGTTTTTTGCATAAGTATTAAATGAGGGAATAATATACAAGCAGTAAAAGTATGCTAAAAAGAAAAATCCACATTAATGTTTTTGTTTTCCTTCAACAGACATACATTGGCAGTGTGGTAATATCAATAAACCCCTACAGATCTCTACCCATTTATACTCCAGAGAAAGTGGAAGAATACAGAAACCGAAACTTTTATGAACTCAGTCCTCACATGTAAGTACAGTGAAGAAGTTTTAGTTTTCTTTCTGTCCTGAAACAGATGGTACCATCTGTCTCTCTCATCAAAAGCTCTGTGTTGCTTAAAGCAAATAAAACAAAAATCACCACCACCACTCCCCCAAAATCCATTTTTATTGGTTCTTCCTTATTTTAAAGAGAAGTCAAGATGAGTTACTTTTTCTGTTTCATGTACCTAAATCCTGGTATGTGCATTTCAGAACATTATCTGTAATTGTTAGCTGTAGCCTTTATTACTGCATTGTAAAGTAAGTAGTTTGTTTTCAAGGAAATCTGTTTCTTTCAAAGTCCAGATTGCCTTGCGAAAGCTGCTAGGTGTTGAATATGTTTGAGTCATATAGTATTACTTTTGCTATCTGAAACCTAATTTATCTTTGCACAGTGCAAACAATGAAAAATCCATCATGATGAATGCAGAAACATATTCGATATGTCTGAATGGTAGCTGTAGGAAAACAAAAGCTTTGTCTCCTCTCCTCTGTGCTGGGTGGAAATGAACTGCCAGAGTGCCATAAATATATAATACAAATTTAAATGCTAAAATATATAGCATATATACAGACATAATATTGCAAAATATGATTTGCATATGACGTAAATTCCAAGTCTCAATTTAGGAATAGAAGGCTGGGAATTAGATATAATCTCTTGTTCTGACTTGTGTTCACCTTCTGTAATTCCTCTATAGGGGTGCATATTGAAAGAAGTCCAAGGCCTTGCATTATGGTTATGGAGAACTGGCAGGACCCACGTTTTGTGGGCCTGGTCAGAATTGTTGAGAGTGACATGGTTAAGCCCTGTCCATTATAGGACGAGCCTTTGATCACAGGTGTGAGTGGTATGGCTGAGAATGAGGTACCTTGTCTTCAGGGTTTGCATGTTGGAGTAATGGTTTTATCTGTTAGATAGTGTCGCAGTGAGGCTAAAACCAACTGTTCCTCTCTATGGCATGATACCAGGATAGAGAAGTGTTTCCAGTGTGTTGTGAGGCTGCCACCTGACTTTGCAGTCACCCGATTGCTGATCACTGAATATGTAAGTGTCTAAACATGGCCACAACTTTATGCATCTTCTTTCAGTGTGAGCTTTTAGGTTAAAAGGACATTATGTGTGGAAAGAGTTCTGGAAGTTATTTTGTTCTGATTAATTTTTTGCCTTCACACTTCATCTGTAATGTTTCCAGATACATTGGCTGAAATGCAGACAGCCAGTTAATCAGATCAAATAAGCTTCTGGATGTTCTTGGCCCTCTTGGATCTGAACTGCTCAGGTTTTTTTCATCACACTTCTGTTTAGCAAGCACAATTGCTTGCTAAATTAACATAGTTGCTTGCTAAAAGAACTTTCTGCTCTGCTAACTTTGTTCAGCTGCATAAAATTTGCTGTCATATAATGGAGGATTTTAAAAATAAAATCTGGGTGTTACAGTTTGTCTGACATTCTGAAAGTCAGTACTGTGCACTTGATTGCGTGTTGAATCAAGTACGTAGTAGTGTATTGATCTCCACATTTTTCCATCTCTCTTGAGAGATGATTTTCCAGAACAGAAATAGCCAACAGTCATTCATTTATGTCTTACGAGAGTCTTAACTTGGTAGACAAATATTTCATAAACATAATTCATCACTAATGACAATAATTGTATGGTCAGGCTGTCATCTCAGAGCAGGAACTTCTGGAGCCCAAAGACTAGAAATCCACTTTAAGAGCAATAGTCTGAAGTGACAAAATGTTGAATTTCAACTTATGCCAGGAGGTCACTACTGTGTGATAGTAATGGATTTTCCTTTCAGGTTTGAATAGAGTGCCAAGTCATGAAAAGTGTAAGACTAATTTGTCTCGGACAGATACAGTCTCTCCACAAATTTTCTGTATTTGATACTGCTTCTGTATGAAAATTTGTCTTCTGATACCTGCTAAGTAGACAACATATCTTTAAAAATACAAGATTATTTAATAATCTTAGTTATGGTTTCTTTTACAGACACAGTGTTTTCTTTTCAAACTGTAGAAATATAAAATGATCTTACCTTATGGTGACCTCACTTTCCTTCCCACCTGTCCATAGATGTTTATGGGAACTGCAGAATCAAGAGAGTCATTTTTGTCTCTGCTAAAATTTGTAAACTTCTCACCATCTTTAAAAGATACTTAAAAATAGATGTAGATGTCTAAAATCAGGGCTACGGAGGCTGCCTTATGCCATGTGTGATAAGCCCAAACAACTTTCTATCCCCTTTTATGTATACTGCCTTGTGCTGTAGCCTAAGGATTCATGCCAGTCCGCTTGTTCACTCTGTGAACATAGAGCTGGTACTTGAATGCTGGTTAATAGATCACGAGGTGAGCTTACAGAGTGACCTTGTGGTCCTGCTGCAGCCAAGCCGAGACTGAGCACCAGTGGGGTGCTTGCCAACCACACTGGTCAGTACAGGCCAAGATCTGGGTTTGGGACAGAGCCGGCATCATCTCTGTGTAGCTTGCAGCTAATTCTACGGTTGGCTGATCTTGGGAGTAGGAGGCCACTGGTAAAAGCAGGGTTCAGGCATATCTGGGGAGGTTGCCGCACTTCCACAGAGACTGCAATCTTCAAGGTGTTTTGTTTTGTTTTAGCTGCTCAGGAACTGTAATGAAGAGATGCTGTGAGACAAATTGCAATTTGTGGTATTTCTTCTGACGTGGGGGTAAAAACCCCACATTGATTTGTGGAGCTCTACATACTTATTTTTCTTTGATGTGTGAATCTCTGTTGAGCCATAGCCTCTTCAGAAGAATTGATTGTTGGTAAGCCCAGTGTACCATTTAAGGGTGCTTTGGGAAAAGACTTTGGGCTCCTATTGCATAACGCTGAGCAAAGCAAAACTCTTGACTGTTTATAAAGAAACTAATGCATATGACCTAGAAAGTGTTTCTAGAAATAAAATTATATGTAGTGTGTTTCTTATTTCAGCAACTCCTTTGTACAAATAGTCTGATTTTGTTACTAGTGCTAGCTAGAAAAATGCAAAAAAAATATTGCAAAAAATTTATAATAGTGGTTTGATTTGAGATTCCTATAGAAACCAAGTCTGTATGGCACCAAAACTCTTCCATCAGAAATAAACGTGCTGTCACCTGTTGACATGGTAGCTCTTATTCTTCAGGGTCTGTCATTTTGGAGAGAACCTTCAGGTTTGGGAATCACAGGTTTTAAGTGTCAGGGTCTCTGGAGCAGACTGCCATGCAATGCCTTTTCAGAGCTCTGGCTTTGTGTGGAAGCTCCTGGGAAATGAGGAATCTAAATCATACTTTGCTTATTTTCCAGTAGTTTCATATGACCTTCTGTTGATGCTCGAGGTATGTGCAAGCGTTTGGATGTGATGGATTGGTATGGAGGATGTGCTTGAGAATACCAACAGTCCCAGTAAAATAGTAGGCTTGATGAGCAAATGAAAATGGAAGGAAAAAGAGAGAGACATATAAAATGACATGTGGGAAATTCATACCTTGGGATTTTTTCCTCAGATGTGGTCATTGAAGGAAACTTATATCCATGGGAGTGAAGAATCTGTTTTCTTAGCCCTCATTTGAAAGATGAGGGAGTAAACACCTCATCATCTGCTCTGCATCTGCAGGAGTGACTGATGCTTTCAGTGACGCTAGTTAATACTTAATTGCAGGCTTTGGGCAGGTTTTGGTTTTTTTAATATTCTTTGGAAACTATAGCGTAAGGCCACAGATACATTTTGAATGAGCAGCCAAACAATTTCTGGGAGAAAGCTTCTGGTCAGGTGATTTTGGATAGTGTTCTACCTGATGAAATGTGATCGAAGAGATTTGGTTTTAATGGATCATTCCACTCTAAATACACCACCGCTGTTGTGGCACCATGTAATGAAGTGTTACTTTTCTAGGCCTCTGAATGCTTGTTTTTGTAGTCTGTGGCTATTTGCATAGCTGTAATAGGAAGTTTACCAAGATTTTTAATTGGGTTTTGCACTGTTTTATTAGTCTTGCTGGTTTTGTCTTTATCTGCAAGGCAGGACCGAACTTGTCTCTGACTTGACAGAGGAGAGTATGACATTTCAGCATCCAAACAGTTTGCTGCTTGATTTGTGCAGTCCTCACACTTCTGTTCTGCTCTTTCAGTTGATGTAATTACTATTTCAGTTGATGTAATTGCTGTTTTGCTTACCTTGTGGGTGAGCTAGACATGAGAGAACACCACGCTGTCTATCTTGCTAATTTACGTTGACTTCTGCCAGTGACAAAGGCAGCTACTGGCATCTTCAAAGTGCAGGCAGTAGGAAATAAATAGCTTATTGTACCATTTATTTGTCACCATGATGCCATGTCACTTTCCTACCAGTACCAGATTTGCTTTAAGGGATTGCAGAGTAGGTGTTTTCTTGCACTTCCTATCTTACCATCGGCTCCTGGCTACTAGCAGCTCTCCAACTGTGGGAGGTAGGGTGGCATGTTGCTTTTTCCTCCCCTTCATGTTCTGAAATGCTTTAGAAGAATCATGGTTAATTTTAAGTTGAGAGACAAGCCAGAAAGTGGCAACTCTAGTGTTAACAGAGTTCAGATTCAACATGAGTTTTTTTAAAGCTATGCTCTGAAGTATTTATGATGAATAACTGGGACAGCCAGAAAATACCTGGAGAAGGCTTTTGTCAGACGTCTGTTGCATTTCACGTAGGCAATTTTGCTGTATATTTTGTTTGCTTGTACTAGTTCTTTTAAGTCAAATATTTCTGAAGAGACAATAGTTTTGCATTAAAAGCTTTGAAATTTAGAAAGACTTGAACTTTTGCTGGCAACTCCTAAAAACCAGCTTGTCTTTATATTGGGTACAAGCACAAAGATACCAACTGGCTCCCTATTAAAATGCCAGAATAAGGAACTGACTAATGTTCCCAATTTCAGTGATCATCACATTAATATTTTTTGGGACAAATCATTATCCTATGGATATCTGCAATTACTCTGACAAT